ACCCTTTAACTTTCAGTCTGTGAGTTTCCTTTTGAATTAAGTGTGTTTCTTGTATGCAGCATATTGTTGGATTTTGCTTCTTGCCCCATTCTGCCAGTCTGTTTCTTTTGATTGGTGAACTGAGACCAATGTTGATGGTTATAACTGAAACGTATTAAAAAGCCCACATCTTTATCCAATCTCCAGTGGATGGGCAATTGGGCTGTTTCCAACCCTTAGCTATTACAAACTGTGGCAGGTTTATTTTTGTAAGTACTTTATTAATTTTTATGATCTCAAAATTTCAGAAATCCAAGGAATCTACCCTTTGACTTAGTTTCTGGCTGGAACAAATAATAAACGGTTGAGGTGACACCAAGTTGTGGAGAAATCACAGTGTGACCAGTATCTATCTGTGCGCCCCATGGAACATAAGCTGACATGGGCTGTGACCACTGGAGACCTGGTGCACCAAGCTCAGGGTTCACCCTTTGCTCCTCAAAGTCACTACTCCTTCACTTCCAAAGCCCCAAGCTCTCTTAGCTTAATCTTAGCTCAGACTGTATAATTCATGTTTTAAAGACAGGTCATACAGCATCATGGTGGGGTCAGTGCTGTGTTCCTTTGTGACCCTGCACCAGAGACTCCTGTACTGCCTCCTGCCTGCTCTGATCACCATTTGCTGCCTGTTTCCCCTGGAGTGGTGGGGCTGTGGCTCTGGGAGACGCGTGTGGTTCCCTTTACCTTCTCATGATCACATCCAGAATAGATGGTGCTTTAGTTCTAGCAGCCTCCTTTGTTTTCCACCTGAAAACAAAGCCTTTGTCTCATTATTATTATTATTACCGGGGATTGAACTTGGGACCTTGCTCTTGCAAGGCAGGCGCCGGAAGGACTGAGCTAAATCCCTGGCCCTGTCTCATTATTTTTAAGAGAAACTTATATTACAGTCTCAAGAGCCAGGTATTTGAGAGACTTTCAGGTCTTTTAACTCAGTTCCTTTCCCCTGCCGGGTACCCAGAGCAGAGGGTGCCCTTCAGTTGCAGTTGGCCCCTGCCTGTGTGGAGCCTCCTGCTGCCAGGGTATTGACATGCACCCTCCAGACATTGGGTTTAACTGAAATTCCAAAGGTGAAGACAGCCACCCTCTTCCTGGTGCCTTTAGAAGTTTTGTCTGATGGCTGTGAGTAGTAAAAAAGCAGGGCAAACCAGTTGTGAAGGCAGCATTACCTTCAGATGTTGTCATTTAGGAGGCCTTGTGATGATGGCTTTGACCCTGGGGTGCTCCTGCTCTGCCTAGGGGCAGCTGTGCAGCTTATGGCTGTGTGGCTCTAAACTGTGTCTGTGGGCAGACCAGGTGTCCCCCCGCCCCTGTTTTTTTTTTGCCCTACTTGGGTGTGCAGGGTTTCCTGCAGTCCTTGGTCCTCCCACACATGTTGAGGAGGCTAGACTACTCATCCTGTCCCCAGGCCTGGCTCTGTCCCTGAGAGCCACAGAAGGGGCAGCTCTAGCAACAGACATCTCTATCCACAGACAGAGTCTCTCTCCAAACCCCCAGGGTTTCAAGAGAGCCAGCTCAGTGCCCCACATTGAGGTGTTAGGGAGTTCTTGAGGTGTGCAAAGGTCAGACTGGTGCAGAACTCCTTTGTTCCTGGTTGGAGAGTCTGCGGGTGTAGACCCCGATCTCAGGCTGTGGAGTAGGGCAATGAACAGACTTTTATGTTGCCTTGTGACCTTGGGATGGCCACTCATGGGGGAGCTGGGGAGTTGTCACACAGTTCCCTGCATCCCACTCATGGCTCATTGCAGCAGGACTGTCTGTGGAGGGCTGGCCAGTCTGGTGTGTTTGTGCAGCATTCCTGTGGGGGCCGGGCCCCTGGCCCCTTCTCTGCCATCCCTGGGGCCAAGATAGGGAGGAGCACTCTGCAGTCAGGACCTTTGAATGGGAAGAGATAGGATTTAATGGGTACTTTATGGATGGACCCGAATTATCTGGAGTTCTTATTTGGTGGGGGAGATGAAGTATGATGTAATAATGTTAATGTCGGTCTCAATTAGAACATTTCAGCCTGTTTTCAGCCTGTGTCACCCAGTGTGTCCCATGTTTGGGTCTAGCAGGTGTGATCCCCAAGGGCATCGTGGCGCAGATGAGGTATTTGCCAGCCCAGGAGCACCACAGGGTGTGGAAGAGAGCCATGGGATGGGGGTCCCCAAACCATTTGTTCAGGCCTGCAGTCAGGTCCAGGGTGAGGTTATGAAGGGCTCTGCCCGCTCTGCTCTGCTGGGAGGGTTGGGGTGGTGATGCCTGATTTCTCGGTATAGTCAGGCACTCACCTTAAATTGGCGTTTTTTTCTTCACTGGCTGTTGACCAAGTCTTTCAGATCTCTGTAGGCACACCGAGAGGCAGGAACTCAGGCATGTTACTGTTGCCTGGCCAATTATGGCCTTACCTTCATTTAATCCTCACAAGGGTGTTACGGTTTTCCTTTTACCGATGAGGAAACTGAGGCTCAAAATGCTTTGTCAAGTCCCATGAGCACACAGCTGGCCACTGGTAGGGCTGAGCTTGAGCTGGTTCTTCTGAGGACTGAAAGTCAGTTCTACTGCTCCACTGCCTTCCTCCTGGGTTGAGTCATCAGGGGCCCCACCAGAGTCCCCTAAGTGTCAGGCAGTGGCGGGTGGTGAGGGAGAAGCAGCTGTGGCAGTCAGCACCTTCCCTGCCGGGCATCAGGACATCAGCTTGCTCAGAGCCAGGAGCTGGGGTCATTCCTGCGTTTGGGTTCCCTCACGGCCCTGGGTGGATGTTTGCATGGGGTTGTCTGAGTTTGGGTTTCAGATTTATTCTTGAATTTTTATTTCAGGATATAACTTGGCAAGATGAGCACTCTGCCCCTTTCTCCTGGGAAACAAGGGTAAGTTGGATTAAATTTAGATGTATTTACCCTATTAAAAAGAATCGAGTAGTTCTACATTTTCTTTCAGTGTTTGTTGTGCTCAGGAGGCTGTGGCCCCACTGCTGACTGAGGGGACAGGCCCATTAGCCAAGGGAAGAGGGCTTTAGGGAGTTAGGAGACTCCCAGTGTTTCTGATGTGGCTCCAACATCCAGCCAGCCTGGGCTCAGGGCCAGACCTGGGGGCTGCTCTCAGCCTGTGCCCCTGCCCCCCAGCACCAGGGACCACAGTGGCCCTGCTCCCAGTGTGGTATGAGAGTGTCATGCCCAGCTGGCTTCAAGGAATTCCCTGGTCTCTTGCTGTCCCTGAGATGTGCGTTCATGAGCAGGACAGTGACTAAGGCAAGAAAAGAATGGAAAAGCCAGAGCTTTCCGAGTTCTAGGACATTCAGTGCTGTGTGTGGGTGGTTGTGTGCCCAGAATAGGGTTTCGATTGAGGTCAGATCAGGGTTTCAAGTGCTGATGCTTTAAGGGCCTAGTTTCCTGGGCTTTCACATGTCCCTGAAGTTTCTGATCTGAGCCACTGTCCCAGCAGACAGGGGCATTCAGGAGCCCTGAGGTGGGTGAAGCACCAAGGGCATCTCCAAGGACCCCAGAGGCCTCATATTCTTGAGGAGCTGTGTCCTGAAATGTCCCACCAGGGTTCAGGTGGATGGGACAGCCACTGGCTCTGTGCCCACAGTTAGCATTTGGTATACAATTGCTGATCCAAGGGCAGCAAGCTGGTCCCTCATGTGGACACCTGGGGCAGTCAGGATGATTCTCATGTGAGAGATAGTTGGGGATACGCAGATGTGTTCTGCCTTTGTCACACTGTTATACTGGGTACTAAACATTTAAGATGCAAACATCTGTGTCTAGCATATCTCTTTTAAATGTCCACTGGAGATTAGCAGGGCGCTCAGGTGTTTGCAGAGGCCAGGTTAGTGGGAACAGGCTGACAGGAGCTGAGTGTTCCCAGGGCCTGGACCCGGGGGGAATGGTGACAGGCCTGTGCTGGGGCGGCATGGGATGTCAGGAGCAGAGTAACAGTAGGTAGCAAACCCACAGCAGCCTGTGTCTGCTGAGGTCACAGAGCAAGTGACGGGTGGCCGCACATCACTTCCCTGCTGTCCAGCCGAGTCCCCTGTCCTCGTCTCCTGTGGCTGCCAGTGTGTGAGCAGGGACCCTCAGAGTGTGTCTGTGGAGGAGGAAGGGAGGTGTCTCCCTGTTGGGAGCGAGCAGCCTTGGTGCACATGGGCTCCCCGGACCAGGCCGTCTTGGATGATGTCATGGCGGGGAAGGCAGGGGAGAGTCAAAGCAGCGCAGAGGCTGGGAAATGAAGCCCATGGTGCGTGGCCCATGCAACTATTTGCTGCCTTAACAGTTTAACAGTCTCCCTCCCTAGGCCACCATGGGACATGACACATGGCTGTTTGTAGCCTAGTGTAAGTAATGTCCTGGGACACGGTGGGGTTGCCCTCGGAGTAGCTCCTGACCCAGAACATCTCTGAGTCTGGCATGGGGAGTGGCAATGTCTGGATCCAGGAGAGTGATGATGGTCCACTCAGGTGACACCTTGCTGGTGCTGACTAGACGTAGCTCCCTGAAATGAGGATAGGGTGAGCCACCCGTGGTATTTGTGGCCTTTAGTAGAAGTTGAGGCTCTCAGATCCCTTCAGTGAGAGTTCTTCTCTTTTCTTTTTTCTTTTCTTTCCTCCTTCCCTCCCTCTTTCCCTCCCTCCCTTCCTCTTTCTTTCTCTCACTTTCTTTCCTCAATATCTACATCCCTAGTCCTTTTTCAGACAGACTCTCACTAAGTTGCGTACTCAGGACTTGAACTTACAGTCCTTCCTCAGCCTCCCTCATGCTACCATTACAGATATGTGCCACCATGTCCAGCTCGAAAACGCCTGCTTCTTTCTCAAGCTGTGGGTCTCCCTGTCTGCACCTTTCCACGTGATCTCTCAAGGCCAGAGTTCTTCTCAAGGTGGAGTTCAGTGTTGGAGCCCCTAGAGCTGACATCGAGGGTGCTTGAGAGAGGAGAGGTCGCTTTCTTCCTCCCTTAGTCAGTGTTGGGTTTTAGAGAGCTCGACCGTCCTTGGTTGTGCCCTGAGAAGGCCCTTGCCCCTGCACTTCCAGCTGTTGGTCACACTCCTCCAAGGACTTAAAGATGTCCAAGAACATCTCTGAGAGCCACAAACAGGAAGTGGCATTAGGAGGCCTGGCCCTGGTCTCCATATTTGGACTGCAGGCTAGATCCCGTTTCTGCGTCCTGCAGAGGATGCCTTCCTCACTTGGTCACATGCTTCCCATGGGTGAATCACTCTGAGCAGCGTTTACACTGGGATCTGCAGTCAGAGCAGGGCTCAGCAGGGTTGTTCTCTTGGTGTCCCTGCCTGCGATCACTCATTGTCACCCAGCACCCACACCCACTTCTCTCATGTACCTGGGTGGGGCTGGCAGTCAGCTGGGCCACATCCTCAGCTGGCCATGTCTCCAGCTAGCCAGCGTGGTCTTCTGCACGTAGTATGGATGGAGCCCAGATGCCTGCAACACTGCTTTGTCCTGCTGGTCCAGTCAAGGCAGAGCAGTCACAGCCTCAGGGTGAAGGGAGCATCCTGTCCTGATGCAAGAGTCAAAGTGTGTGGCTGTGATTAATGTGTAAGGCATGTCACTCCACTTGGTTGCTAATCCTGGGTCCTCCCTCTCCACTATTTATCATCATCGATGTTTAAATTTTTTATTAACTGTGATAAAATGCATACTATATATCATAAAATTTACCATGTTCATCCTTTTCTTTTTTTTGATGCTGAGCATTGAATCCTGGGGCCTCACTCATGCTAAGCACACCTCTACCACTGAGCTGCAACCCCAGCTCATTAACTATGGTTAAGTGCACAGTACAGCGGCATTTACATATTATGTTCACATTGTTGTACAACCGTCAACACTATCCATCTTCAGAACTCTTTTTCTTGTTCTAGAACTGCATGTATTTACAGAGTACAGAGAGATTTAAAAAAAACTTTGTATACATTGTGGAATGATTAAATCAAGCTAGCTAACATATCCAGAGCTCTTTCCATCTAGCAGAATTGACCCACTGAATTGACTGCCCAGCCCTGACAGCCACTGTGGAAGGGGGGCTGGGAGGGAGGCCTGCCTGTCCCAGAGAGGGTGGTCACAGTTGTCATCTTTTCCACTCATCTGTCAGCTTGGCAGACATGTGCCCTTGGAGACCCACTGCATTCCTCTCTCATGCTACTGATGTTTCGGAGGAAAAATCCTAGCACTCAGAATGCTCCAGACAGGGAGAGGCAGAAGAGAAGATTCTTTGCATTCCTCAGGTGGTCTGGGCTGAGGGTCTGGAGAATGCCTGTGGTGGAAGGGGAGGCAGGGCAGGCAGAGCTGGCCCTGGGGACTCCCCTGTCTCGCTCCCCAGCTGTCTGGCTTCTTTGTGTCTACCTCATTCTTTCACTTGATGTTCACCTACTACTGGGAGTTTGTGTGACTGTGGAGAAATGCTTGAGATGGAGATGTGGAGTGGCTTTTCTTTGCCCCTGTGGGTGACTAGGCCCTGAGGTAGGTCTCGGCCTGCATGCCCTACTCAGGTTACCCAGACCCCAGCTCTGCTCCCCTGGGCTCCCTGACAAATTTTGGGAGGCAAACACGGGTGTATTATGTAGCACCTGGTTGCTGACCCAGCCCTGGGACTGCCAGTCCCCGCCCAGTGTGTTCATGCTCTGATAGAGTCTTTTCCTCGCCTGACTGTCACTTCTCTGATTTTGTGGTCCTGGGAGTTTTTCATATTCCTGCCCTTCTTCCTGCTATTCTTTGGAGCAGAGGAGGGAGGTATATACATTGCATGTTTGGCGAATTCATTAGGGTCTGTCCAGCACACTACAGTGTTTTCCAGTGATGCTTCTGTAGGCTTTGTCTTAACAGTTCAGACCTGCCTGAGGCTGCCAAGCCAAACAATTGGTTTTGGCAGCATGAACTCTCCCTTTACTGAAATGTTACACATTCCTCTCCAGTGAGTGAGACACAAAAATAGATCCTGTGCTCTGTTGTGGTCTTGCTGTTTATAGAACGGTTGTGGCCAGTTGAGACCTGGCTCCCATATGGGCTGACTAACGCCCAGCCTGGCTGGACTGAGTCTTTCCAGGCAGACCCTCTGGGCTCAGCGAGCCCTTGGGGTGAGTGGCCTGGGGGAGGGAGGAGGGGCCCAGTGTGGAGACCAGAAACATAAAGCAGTAGAACTTGCTTTGAAACGGCAGACAGGCCTGACACTGCTCTGTGCAGCCTACACAGTGGCACTGTCCGATGCTGTGTGCACAGATGGCAGTGGGCGGCCTCGGAGAATTCAGGAAGATGGTGGATCTCTGTTCCTGCCTGCCTCACTAGGGTCCATTCCTTTTTGTTTTTAAGAGTAGGAAAAAATTATTGAGAGAAAGAAAGCTTCTGTCTAAGAGATAGAAGGGGGACTGGAAAGTGGGTTGCCTGCCCACCCCACTTTTCAAAGATGTTTTATACAGCAAAGCCATGTGGTGAGGTGGGTACAAAGTGGGGCAAAACTATAAGACCCAATGGAAAAATTTACAAGGTGGGCATGAGCTGGGAAAAATCCATGACCAACCCATAAGATTACAAGTACAGTCACCCAGGTAACATTGATGAAATGGGGGTCAAATGGGAAAACAAGTCACATACAAGGAATTTCCCATTTAGGATATCAATCACTGCTATCTATCTCTAGGGGAAGTAGTGCCTCTTCTTTTTATAATGCTAGCCAGTGAATGTGCCTCAGTTGTTCTCCATGTTGGCTCCTCACTGTGTTGGCTCCTGGAGGGCTGGCACCTTGAGGGCTAGCGCCTTGAGAGTGGCCCTGTCTAACTGCCTACAAGATATCTAATTAACTTACCTGTCTACAGTATTCCCCCCTCTGACGAAGTACCCCTAGCTGCAGTGAGGGGACAAGGGCTGAAGACCCTTCTGACTACTTCTGGCTAAAGAAGGTCATAGTTGTGATCGGCAGTCGGAGATACTCTATAGAAGGTCATCTAAAGGCCCTCAATAGGCGCCAGGCACTGTCCTCTTGGGTAGCCGTATAGCTTTGAGTCTGGAGGAGACAAAGCCAAAGAAACAGTTAAGGATACATGGGCTAAATAATAAGGTCACCAGGGTTGTTATGAATATAGCCACAAAGTGTTTTCACCAGGAAGAACTAGTAACAGCCTTCCACAAAGAGGATAAGGAGAAGGTCTGGTCCAGGGGACTTCAGAATCCAACATAAAAGTCATATTGTAGTTTAGCAGTTTTGAACTTTTTACAAGGTCAATCTGGTGGATCCCAGTAAAAGAAGTCTAGCACATTTGTCTTTGGTTCCATTTGTATGACCATTTGGAGTTTGGCAACCTTTAGGCAAGAATAAACAAAATTTTAAAGAAATTAGACCACGTATAATCTAAGCATGAGCACTAAAATAGAAGGGCAGCTTGGGGAAAGAGCCACACTTAGAAACTGAAATAGTAATTGTGCAAAAGCTGAAACAAAGGCCAGAATTTAAAAAACAAAAACCAGAGAATCTATGAAACAAATGGACAGAGCTTAGGAAACAAAAAGAATCCATGAAACAAGAATCAGAACTTATGAAACAAAAGTTACAGTCTGTGAAGCAAAAAGACCAAAGTTAGAATCTGTGAAAGGAAATTCTTGCATCCAACCAGTAATCTGGGTGGAAGACCTTCAAAATGACATAGGAGGAAGAGATGTAACTCCCCAACCTGCTAGACATTAGAAACATGAGTTTGTGTTCTCTAAAATCAAAGAATGAATCCTAGGTACAACAGAGGTTAAGAGTAGGAAAAATTTATTGAGAGAAAGAAAGCTTCTGTCTAAAAGAGACAGAAGGGGGACTGGAAAGTGGGTTGCCTCTTGGGTCCATTCTTTTTATAGTCCTGGGTCCTTCAGTCCAAGCAGTGGTGCATGCACCAGGGTTTGGAAATCCTAAATAACAGACCCTTTTTCCTGTGAGTGAGGAGTAGGCAAGACTCCTCACCCAGCATGATCGAGGAGGTCTGTTTTTAAAGGAGATTGCAGATATACTTGATTTGTAAAATAAAGAACATAGGGAGGGTGGGGGATTTAGCTCAGTGGTTTTGCCGGCTGCTGTGCAAGCGCAAGGACCTGAGTTCATCCCTGGTACCAAAAAAAAAAAAAAAAAGAACACAGGGAAAAAGAAGCAAGTATACTAGAATTTATTTACTTCTTTAAGTTCTTGTTTTCACTCATTGTCATCTCCAAAATCCTACAACAGCTCCTGCCAACACAGACTTTCCTGTGCAATGGCACCCACCCCTGAAGTGCTGTCCCGAGGCCTCCACTAACCCATGAAGGGCTGGGAGTACCTTTTACCACTTGGGGTATCACCCTGACTCAGCTGATGCTCGGTTCCTTCCAGCAAGGATGTGGCCTCCAAACTACTGTGACTCGTTGTCCTCCCCAGCACCCAGTTCGGCCACGTTGGCAGAATGTTCTGCTTCACCCTTCACAGGCTTCTAAGCAGATATCCCACTAGAGAAATTGCTGATCCTAAAAAGGCTGGCGTTTGACAAAGTGCTCCATTCTAAAAGCCTTACACTACAATTTCCAGATCAAAGTCAGCTCTGGCCCTGGGTCTTGGGCCACTTCCCAGCTATTTTTGGTGTCTTGCTTACTTAAAGTAACTATCATTCCTTTGCCCACAGTGTTTGTATTCTGTGATGGAATTTGGAAATATGCAGAGTATTCAGAACACTTCACTCAGAAGTGGTCCTTTAAAAATCAAATCAGATCATGGACGTACGAGCTGAGTGCTGTGTACAAGGCTTTGTACTTTGTAGCCAGGGCTGCTTGTTCATATAGCCATGCCTCAGAATCACCCAATCCAGGCCAAAATCCCAGCTGTAGAATCTCCTAACAGACTAGTGACCTAGGGCGATCTGATCACTTCAAACATCCATTTTCTTATTAGCAGAATGAAAATAAGTTAAAAACTACATGTCTGAATAGGGCATATGGCCCATATGTGTAATACCAGTTCTCTGAAAGGCTAAAGCAGGAAGATTGCCAAGTTTGAGACCAGGCTGGGTAACTTAGAGGGAAACTATCTCAAAATTTAAAAAAAGAATTTTTTTTTAAAGAGGATAAGCTTATTGCAAAGGCCTTGGGTTCATTCCCTAGTACCACAAAAAACAAAACAAAAGCCTCTAGATGTCTAATGACACAGTCATGTACACTGTCTGTAATGACAGCTCCCTGGTATACCTGAAGCTTTGATGGTTGCTTCTTGGATTTCATTTCCTGACGTCTGAGCTACCAGGCACCTTGGGCTTTTGGTTTGAACTTGAGCTCTTCATGTTCATGGCCTCATCATCTCAGCTTCCGAGCCTTGAGGGCACCTCCCAGGAATGCAACACACAGGGGAATTCACAGCTCTGAGGTTCAAGGCCCATGGCTCACACTGGGAAGGCAGCTCACTTTGTCCCTTGTGGGAAGGGGGCTTGAGGGAGAGTGGTTGTAAAGAACCAAGCCAACCATTTTCTCAGTGAGGGAATTTGCATTAAAGTCCTAAAGACTCATGTTCTGTGTCTTAAGGTAGCACAGACAGTTTTAAATTATTACTCTCAGGGACTCAGAATGCTACTTGTATGGTGGTAGGGAGGTAATGAGAGATGGGCAGCCACTAGAAAGCACCTTGATTCAATTTGAGAGTATAGATCTAAAAATCATACAAAGAGAGGCTCACACTTTTTTTTTTTTTTTTTTTTTTGGTACCAGAGATCGAACCCAGGTCCTTGTGCTTGCGCAGCAGGTGACGAAACCACTGAGCTAAATCCCTGGCCCAACACTTTTGTATTTTGATGTGTCATTTCTGGGAATTTATTTGAAGCAGTTAACTCAGAATGGAAGAGAGCTATGTGCATCCAGATGTTCCTGGTGGCCTTGATATTAGGAAGAGGATTAGCAGGAAAGTTGTCCGAGAGTAAGAAGATGGTACAGTAGGTGATGAGACGCTGCTGAGTGCAATGTTTGCAGCCACTAGAATACCAGCTGTGAAGACTGAGGCACACATGGGTGAAGCTCATGAGCAGGTAGAAAGCAACGCCCAGAGTTCTGGGCCTGATGGAACCACCCCTCTGAACACATGCACTCAGAAGTTGCTTGTGATAGGGAGGGATTATGACTGATTTTTCTTCTTTTCTGCTTTCCCAACTTCTTGTAATGTTATTTTATTACTTTTATTTATTCATTTTTAAAAGAAGCAAGAGGATGAGGGAATGAAAGGGTAGGAAAGAGATTGTTGGGTTGACTTTAGAAATGACTGGAGTGCACATGGTCTATTCTGCGGGGCTGGGAAGATGTGGCTCCATGGGGTCCACATGAGGTGGCCTAGGCGGCCTTGCTGTGGTTGGAGTGGGGTGGGGTCACAGCTGTGAGGCTCAGGTTGGTTTCAGGTGACCCAGGGTCATTCTGAAAATAGCCACTCAGGAGAGACAGTTCCAGTAAATAGACAATGGCTTGCACTATTGGGATGTGTACACATGGCTGGGGGTTGTGTGTAAGCTGGCCTGCCTGTTGCAGTGGATGCTAAGGCTCACTTTGTCTTTTCTCTCCTTCCTCATCCCATCACAGAGTCAGATGGAGTTCAGCATCGCCTCCTTATCCATCCAGGAACCGAGCAATGGCATGGCCACCAGTGAGCCAAGGCCGCTGCCCAAAGCCTCACAGGGCAGCAGGTCCTCCAGCCTGGACGCCCTGGGTCCAGCCAGGAAGGAAGAGGAGGCATCCTTCTGGAAGATCAATGCCGAGCGGTCCCGGGAGGGGCCTGAGGCTGAGTTTCAGTCCCTTACCCCCAGCCAGATCAAGTCCATGGAGAAGGGGGAGAAGGTGCTGCCTACCTGTTACCGCCAGGATCCCTCCCCAAAGGACCGGGAGGTCACGGCCCTGCGCCCAGAGCAGCGAGTTCTTCCCAGCGCAAGCACGGAGCGCGAGAGACCCCAGCCGGTGCAGGGCCTCACCAGCACGTTGCCTGAGGTGACACCCTGTGAGCCCCCAGGGAAGCTGTTATCTCCCGATGCTGGGCAAGAGGATGAGGATGATGCTCTGTTCCTGGAGCCCAAGTCTGCACAGGTGAGAGGCCAGCGTCAAGGCTGCGTCAGGCCAGGGACTTGCTCTGGGGCAGTTGAGGGGGACCCCACAGGATGGGCCAGCCACTGGTGTTGCACTGTCTTCTTCCCCGTCTCCTTCCCCGTCTCCTTCGTTTCCTCCCTTCTCAGAAGACTTGGGGCTGGTGGCAGCCCTAACTTGTCTACAGGTTGTATGGCCACTGCCCTCTTACCCAGTATGTGGGCAGTGAGGGGCTGCAGGGAGATGGTGGTTAGTGTGGGGGACTGTTAGTGAGGAAGGGTCCCACAGGTGTTCTGAGGTCCAGGGATGCAGGTGGGACCCTGGAGCTCAGCCAGGGCGTAGCCACCAGGACTCTGCTTGGGAGGACATTGTTCCTCTTCAGGCATGATGGAGTTCAGAGAACGGAGCTCCTTTCCAGGGTGTGGGGTTGAGGGCTAGCAGAGGAAGGGCCATGTCCTTTGGGTGAGGTGGGTGGTTATGGAGAATGAATAGTCACTGGCTCTGCCCCTCTTGAGGGGCTTGCTGTGGGAGCAGGCTGCATAGCTGATGGCCCACCTTTGGGACCAGGTTCTGACTTGGAGCCAGGAGCTCCTGTTGGCAGGGACACCTGCCTCCTCAGGCATACCTGAGAGGTCTGGCTGTGCTCCGAGTGTGCCCAAGGGATCCTGGCGCCTTGCAGGCTGGTGAGCACAGGATGAGGCTCCTCTATGTCAGTATCACCAGGCCCTTCTGTCCGTGGCACTCCTTGGCCATCTGTGGTCATTCTTTTTTTTTTTGACTTACTAAAAAATTTTTAAATTTTGGTAAATACACATAAAATTTATCATTTTAACCCTAAGTGTGCATTCAGTGGTATTAATGTTGAGCAGCTATCATACCTTCTGTCTCCAGAACTGAAACTCTGGGGCCAGCGTGCAGCTCAGTGATAGAGCTTGTGCTTAACATGTGTGAGGCCCTGTCTTCTAGCCACACACAAAGTAAGCAAAATAAAACCAAATCACAGCCAAAGCACTGTCCCCACTAAACACTAACTCCATTCTTCCTCCCCAGCCCTGGCAGCTCCATTCTATTTTCTGTCTAGGATTTGATACGATTGTCACTTTGTACAAGCCAGGCCACGTGTACCCACGGCCCTCGAAGTCACTCTCATTTCCCTTGACACAAGAGTGTCACTGATTTCCCAGGGCCTAGGAAATCATTCTGTACCTTCCACGTGCTTGGGAAGAAGTGAGCTTTCTGCCTTCTTAGATTTCAGTCTCTCAGCTGTGCAATGTTCTTACTCTTTTTGTTGTGTCCTCATTGTATGTGTGTGGGTATGTGTGTTTTGCCCTAGAAAGAATGACTCCCTAGCTTGACCTCCCTCACTTTATAATGTCATTCAGAAACAGAAAAGATTCCTAGGAGTGGAGAAACATTCTGTTCTCTGCTGGCCCTGTGAGGAGGTTGCAGGTTGCACAGAAGTGCTTTGAGAGGCTGGACTGGGCAGAGTGCAGCTTGCATTGAATTTGATATAATGTTCTAGTCTCCAGCACTGAGGTAAATTGAGATCAGGGGTCCCTGAGAGGGAAGCCAGTTACTTCATTTGGGTCATTTTAAATGAGATGCTGTTTTTAGATTCTGCATAACTGAAAAAGAAGCTTGTGTCTTACTTCAGCACTTTGTCCCTCCACAGGTCAGCTCAAGCAATGTCGTCTTGAAGACAGGATTTGATTTTCTGGACAACTGGTAAACTGTATTAGACCGAAAAAAAAAAATACAGCCAAGAACCCCAAAACACTTTCCACAGTGCTATGCTGGAGGAGGATAAGAAGGGCAATGTTGCCTTGTGTATTTTCCTGGTTTCTCTACTCTTTTTTCTTAATCCTTTGGAAACTGGTAAATATTGTCAGATTTTTCCCTTTTTGGTAAAACCAGATACATATGCTATTTTCAATGATTTGATAACAGAAGTTTTACATTTGGAATTTTTAAGGACTGTTAAGAATTCAGTAAATCTTATAGATAAAACTTCTGTTCCCAGCTCCACCAGTTTCCCCTCCTCACAGGGAGTTTTCTCACCATGTCACGGAAGTCCTACTGTGATTCCATCTCATCTTCCTCTGTTCCAGTGGGTGAGCCTGGTGATGTCCTCAGCCATGACGACATTGGCTGCTGGCTGTGGCTGCAGAAAGATTTGTTCTCACTGACACCTGTGGCTTCTCTTGCTGAAGCCATGTCCTGTGCAGTGTGCCACCTGACGCCCTTGTGTCACTTCCAGGAAGCATACCAGTGGCAGATGGCAGACATTTTCTTTGAGTTGTCCCATAATTACTCAAAGTATTGATCATGGTTTAAAAAGAATTGTACATTTAGAAGCTTTGTATAAGCTTCTCATTGTCTTATATTTAGATGTAGCACCATGGGCAACCATTTCCCTTGGTTTTGTACCTGCTTCCTTCTAGGAGCTCCTGTTACCTGGTGACTTGCTGGTTGTCCCTGTACAGCAGGAGCTAGGGTGGGTAGAGGCAGTGCTGGAGCACAGGCCTTTTCTTTTTTTTTTTTTTTTGGTACTGGGAATCAAACTCAGGACCTTGTGCTTGCCAGGCAGATGAGGCGCCACTGAGCTACATCCCCAGCCCTTAGGCCCATCTGATTTGCTGTTAGAACCTTCTGTGTAGGATGGGGCTGTGGCTGTCCGAATCCCAAGAACTGCTTAGGGCACACCTTGGCAAACCCAGCCTGCCAGCCCTGATGGGTTGCAGAAGTGGAAAGGGCATCTCTGAGGCCCAGCAGTGTCCCCTGGAGCCCCATGCTGTTTCCTTGACCGATTCCCCCGCCCCATGTGGTCCTCACTGTGTCCTGCCTGGTGACGCTGAACTCCGTGCAACTGCAAGAGTCACTGGGCTTTGAGCCCTGTGCAGTGTGGTGCACATCCCCATCACTGCAGTCTCCTTAACTGAAGCCTTAGTCCCTATGGGCCCTGCCAATAAACAGGGCATTTCAGTACCAAAGGGTCGCAGCATCTTGTTAATGTCTGCAGACCTTCCGTTGTGGTTTCCAGAATATTTTCTCTGGCTCCAAGGTGACATACTTGGAAACTCCCCACCCCCACCTCAATGAAAGTGTCTGCCATGCCATGGCTTTGCCAGCCTTAGATTTGGTTCCTGCCATTTGCTTCATGTCCCTAAGTCTCATGTGGCTCCTCAGGGCTGGGGCTTACCCTCCTTCTCTAGTAACAGACTGCAGGTCAGCAAAGGGAAGTTTTTCCTGAACTGTTTGGATGGTTGATACATGCAAGAGAGAGATTGTCTGCATGATGGTGAGAGAAGGAGCTTAGGAGTTCTAGCTAGCACAGCCCAGTGGGGTGCCAGCCGCCTTGGGCCACAGCACTGTCCCAGAGCCATGGGTGCCACCTCCTGCACTTCCACCCTTAGGGCAGCCACCAACTGAGAAGCCCCATAGTAAGGATTCTTTTGGAAGTCTGTGTGCTGCTGGGAGCACAGTACTTTTGCTCAGGGCGCTCTGCCTGCTCTTTGGCAGCAATTATTTCTTTGCCACTTTCTCATTGATCTGTGTCCCCATCAGGTTGGCCTCAGACCTGAGAGGTACAGATGGGACTATTGCAAGTTGTTGTGTGCTTGATACCTTCTGTACCCGTACCATAGGGTTTGTTCTCAAAGTGGTGATTCTCCATAAGGGCGCAGGCTCTGTAAAGCCAGTGTGAAGTTGAAAAGGGGAAATTCTGGAGGGTCCTGAGTCCTGCTTATTTGCTCTGTTTTTGGAAATACAAGTTCCCATCCTGCCTGACCTGCAGATCTGCAACCCAGGGCAAAGTCAAAGCAGAGGTGGCTTCTTTCTCATCTTCTAGGGAATCTGTGCCAGTGTCCTGGGAAAATTGGGCTCTACAGTTGTCGTGTGTCCCCTCTCCCATGCATTACAATGGGATTTCTAAAGCCAGGAGTTTATATTTATTTTTTTAAAAAATACACAATTCTCTGCTGATTTTGGACCCTCCCCCACCTGAGTTAGCACCTGGGACTCAGCTCAGGATTCACTGTTGCTCTGGTGACTGCATTTTATAGCACTTCTCCCAGGAAATCAGAAGCAGCTCTGTCAGCCCTGAGCCCTGATCCTGGCCCCAGGGCTGAGTTGGTCTGCCCGGTGGGAGCAGCAGGCCTGTCTCCAGCCAGGTGCAGCCTATGTGTCAGGAGCGTCCTATGTTTCCTTGCACCTCCCTTTCTTTGATACACGTTTTCAAAAATGATACATTCTTACTGACAACTTGTAACTTGGTTGTATTTTATACTAATAGCCTTTAATAAAGACATTTTAAAATGCTAGATGTGTCTGGTTTTGGCCTCTGCTGGGGTCAGAAATGCAGCTAGGATGATGACATCGAACACCGGAGAGAGGGAAGGATTCCTAATGGTTAAAGCTGGCTTGCTACCACCTCAGGAAGTTGCTGTCTCCCCAGTCTCCACCCCCCATCTTGGCAAGGTCCCCTCTGCAGTTACAAGGGGTCAGCCAGGGAGCATCTGCCACTTTAAGAGGGCAGCTCTGTCCTGGAGTGTGTGTGCACCCATACTGCACAACCGTGACCCTGAGAAGCTGTTTCACCCAGCAAGTCTAGTCAACATTGATTTTTTTGGTTCTATTTTCTTTCATAGGGAAGAAATATAAAATCAAGCCTGGCTTGAGTCCTATCTCATTAATTAAAGTGTAGGGTGTGGGTGGTAAGTCAGCCACTAGAGATGTGGGAAAATTTTTAGGTGATGATTTTTTATATATATTAAAAAAAAACTTTTAAAGTTAATGTCCCTTAAAATGTGGCAGTTCAGGTTGACAAGCGTCTCCTAACTTCTCACCGTACACAGGACTCTGCTGCCATTGGGAGAGTGATTGCACGGTGGGGCAGCCCATGCTGTAGGCTTCCATGTTGGGCCATTACCTTTACTAAAGTAGAGAGTTATTCCCAGCTTCCTGGATTTGGCAGCTTTTATGGTGATTCAGTATGTGATAGTAACACATTAAAAAAAAATAAGTGTTTCTAGGCCTGGGGATTTAGCTCAGTGGTTTCGCTGCCTGCTGCACAAGCTTAAGGACCCGAGTTCGATCCCTGGTACCAAAATAAAAAAAAAAGTGTTTCTATACAAGAGGGAGCCATCAACATAGATACAAAGGCACTGGCTCTATTCAGTGCTGTGCAGCCAGCCAGGGAGGGAAATTGCCCACTGAGGACACCAGGGCTGACTGTGGGGTGGGCATATTCATGAGTCTTTCTAGTGATTTCTTGATTCTGATCCTCCTCATACACCTTCCTTGGGCCTTCTCCAGGCACCCAATGCTGAGAGGGAGCTCCTAGGAGGAGACTGTGGTTCTGAGTCCCAACCAAGGGACCCCAGGGAGACTCAAGTTCAAGCTCAAGCAAGAACCCTGGAAATGAGATAAATGTACCAAAACCAAGATGAGGGTTGTGGCTTCCCAGGCACCCATGACAAAGCACTACGGGTGCATCTGCCTCTCGAAGTCCTGGAGGTGGAGTCCAACATTAGGGTGAGGGCAGGGCAGGGTTTCTCCTGAGGCCTCCCCGTGGCTTGCAGACAACCCTCTCGTCTCTGTGTCCTAATGTGGTTGTCTGTGTGTCCCAAGCTGTTGTCAGGTCAGCAGTCATGTTGGATTGGGCCACACCCCAACTGTGCCATCTTAACTAACCTCCAGAAGCCTAACTCCAAACACTGTCATCTTCTGAGGTACTGGGACTTAAAATTTCAACATCCAGCTTGAGGGTGGATTATATAATTCAACCCCCAGCAAGCACTGGTATGAACTAGAAACAAGAAATGCCAGCCATAATGGTAATAAAAAGTAAATTATCCAAGAGCCAATTTAAACAAATATACAAAGAGTTCTTGTGTAAGTTAATCTTTAAAGTATAAAAATTAGAAGACCAGGAAATTCTGGAGTGGATAACTTGGTATCAAAATCTCAATTCTCCCTGAAATCATTTTATAAAGTTAGTACATTAATAAAAATTCCAGTTGGGCATTTTGAGGAATTTAATAAATTTACTCAATTATGAACAGAGACATAGTTCACTAAAGGAAGCAGAGGAGGAGCTGGGTGTGGTACGGTGTCTGTAATCTCAGCACCCTGGGAGGCTGAGGCAGGAGAATTGAAAGCTAGAGCCCAGTCTGGGCAACTTAGCAACTTACACCCTGTCTCAAAATAAAAGAAAAAAAAGAGGGATGGGGATGTAGCTCAGGGAGCAGGTCTTGAGTTTGATCCCTGGTATCATCCCATCACACCTACACATCCCCCCACACACTAAAGAAGCAGCCGGGGCAGGGGGGTGGTCACTTGTAGGGACATGTTCCAGGGCCATAGGATGACTCAGTGGGTCTCAGTTCAGGACAGACAGACCAATGGAATGCGATGAGGCCAAGGACAAGCTCATGCCAGCGTGGGGACTCAAGTTACCATCAAGGTGGTGACATCACAAATGGGGAGAGAAAGATTCCTTAGTGTGTGGACTCAGTATGTGGAGGAATATAAACGTGGATTCCTCCCCGCCGCCCCCTGCACAGAAGAGGGAGGGTCTGTAGGGTTTAAAGCCGAATTGTAATGGTGATAGTGTGAAGCCAGCAGAGGCGAGACCCAGTGAGTGACAGGACGAGGAAGGGCTTCCGTGAAACTCCACAGGACAAGTTGTAAGGCAGGATGTTGAATCTGACAACCTAAAAAGTGAGGCACACTATAAGGGAGCTGGTGGGCTGAAGGGACAGGAGAGGATAGTTGTCACCTCTGTGAAGGACAAATATCAAGGACACAGAGGGCACTCCTGTAAATTAACCAAAGGGCCAGCGACCTCAGAAAATCCTGAAAACTGCAGCATATGAAAAGGTGCTAAAAATAATGGTAATCAGAGAAAAAAGGCCAGAGAGCTAGATGATGCCAAGTGTTGGCAGAAATGGGACACAGCCGTGGCTTAGCCCTAGGAAGGTTGTCCCTCCCTGGGGCTATCTGGCAGTGTTGGGGGACATTTCTGGTTGCTGCAAGTGGGGAGGGGTGGCTGCTGCCATCTGGCATCTGGCAGCAGGTCTGCCCCCTTTGGAGAGCGCTAATTTGATCTCTTTTCCACATGAGGCTTCACATCTGACTTGGTGAAGATTTCATGGGCAATTTAAAGACTGATGAGCCCTGGGCAGGGAAAGTGCTGGGGTTGCTTCCACTGCCCTGTTCCTGCTCAGCAGCAGCCCCAGGCCTGGAGCAGCCTTGAAGAAGCATCCAGTTGTCCCCAAGAGCAGTCACTGGCCCCAGGTGGCTACTGAGTGCTTGGGGTGGGGCCCCTAATGGAAACGTGCCCTAATTGTGAGATGTACACTGGATTTCGAAGACTACACACACACACACACAGGTATTTCATGGATAATTTTGTTTTATTGATTACATGATTTAAAAGAAAATGGATTATCAAGATCAATTTTACTTGTTTAAATGTTTTTAAATGTAGTTATCCGAAAATTTCACCTTATGTGTGCAGCTCACATCATTTTCTGCTGGCCAGCATTGCGCAGAGCTCTGTTACTTCCCTAAAGCCCAGCTGTCCCTCCTTTAAACTCGTGCACAGCTCTGTGTGGGGGATTGCAGGATGTCACGGAAGACTGAAAGCCAAACCAGGGGTACCAGCCTGATGGGGTGGGGTCAGCATTAGAGATGAGAAGGGGCTTCTCACGGGCCCCAGGAAGTGAACCTGCCCTTCCTGGCAGGCCCAGGGCTGTGCTCCTGGGCATTTCCTCCTCTCTCCTGTAGGAGCCGCCAAAAGCCTTGAGGGGACACGTTCCTTTCCAACCCACCACTCCCATGAGTCCTCAGATTAATGTGACAGGAGGGCCCCAGCAAAGGGCAGCTCTGCCTTGAGGCCCACCCTAACCTTTGGGAATGGAGCCAGGAGAATAAATACAGACCTCAGAGAATCATATGCCATGGCCCCGGGTGAGAAGATGACTTGTGAGCAGCTTTTTCTGCAGACAGCCATGGGATCTCCACTGGACCTTCACAGCTCTTGCCCCGGTGGAACATGGAGACCATTGTTCTCTCCATTTTCCTATCAGAGAAACAGAAGAGCCCAGGCTGAATGTACAAAGGCACACAGTGGCAGGCCATGTGTGGTAAGCAAGGCGGTGGAGTGTGGGCGGTGGGGCAGGGGGGCTACAGAGGCATAGAGGAGGGGTAGACAGGGCTGACTGCCAAACCCAAGGCCTTCCCAGGGACCATGTGCTCAGATGAGTGGCTGTGACTTTGCTGCTCGCCACATGTGTGTCTGACCACAGGGGTTGACTCTTCTCTGTTTTAGGGGAGAGCAGAGATCCTTTTCCCAGGAGACCAATTCCCTTTGTCACACCTGTTGCTGGCCTAGGAGGACCATGGGGCCTTGAGGAGTGAGGCGACTTCTGTTGTTGGAGAAAGAGGTGGAGCCCTCTGAAGCATCTGCAGTCTTTGTAATGGGGTTTCTAAAGGGCAGTGCTGATTGCTTGGTGGTGAGGAGGTGCTCGGCATCCTGAATCTCAGAGCTGAGCTCCACCTGGGCTCAGCCTGTGCCCACCACACCTGGCTCCATTCCCCTGGAGGCCAACGTGGTCCCTGGTCCTCAGCTCTCATACCTCCTGTCTCCCCTAGAGCCTCTTAATGAACATGGACAGGAGGGAGCTGTGTGATGTGGTATTTTCTGGAACCTTCTCCAGAGGGCAGAGGGACCCCATAGGGCTGCTGAGAAGGCCAGTAAGATGGCTGTTGACATAGCACTGGCATGGGGTAAACCAACGGCCACTGCTTGATTAGCAGGTACACAAAGACTGAAGGAGGCAGCAAGAGAAGAGGCAGAGGGTAGCTGTCATGCTGGAGAGCCAAAGGACTCCCATGCAGCCAGCCATATTCTTGTCCCTGGTCCTTGCCTCTGTCCCCAAGGCAGCCATCTCCTCACGAGGGCATGATGCCCTTCTGGGACTCCGATCCCATTTTCAGGCCCTTGCTGTGCCCTGCCATCTGTTTTGTCCCACGTGCCACCTTGCCAGGTGGCTCCCTGCAGGGAGTCAGCTGCCCCTGTCTTTCTGTTCCTGTGACACCTCCACCCCCACCCCAGGGCCTGACTCAGGAGAGGATGTCAGGTGCTTGGCTCTGGGTCATGCTTGAATCCTTCCACCCTCCCAGCCTCCAGTTGAAGGTTCCCCAGATCTTCCTCCGAGGCTGGCTGTGCCAAAGCCGGGTGTGGACAGAGACAGGGCTGAGAAGCCCTGGTGGCCTAGTGCTGGTGTGGCTCCTAGGTCCAGCCTCTGCTCCCCAG